CCCTCTTCCCTGCCTATGCAGGGGGTCGGACTCAATGATCTATTGAGGTCCCTTCCGACCCTAGCATCTATGAATCTATGAACCTCTATTAAAAACATTTGGTTCAAGAATCTGCCAGAATTTAGACAAATGCTGATCTCTTTACACCCTCATTTGTAGTGGCAGGAGGCAGCCTGCGTACACATTGGAACTGAGTAAGTGGAACTGCTTGACAGAAAATAAATTGAGACAAGTTCTCCTCAGACCTTCATCTGTAAGTGTAGATGCACCCAGCCAGTTTCTCTGGGAGATTTGTGCTTCCACTTTCAGAGACACTGTTCTTTTATAGTTTGTTTGCTGAAAATGTTGGATAAGAACAGAACATGAGACAACAACAACTTCACTGTCAGTGGCAGCTAGGGGCACCAGATTGGGAGCCAGGAAACCCAGCTTCTATTCCAGTCTCTGCCATTGACCTATTGGGTGGCCTTGTTCAAGCCGCTTCCCTTTCCTGTGCCTATAATTCTTTTCTTGTGAATTGTCTTCTGGCTTGTCTTTTTAGTGTATAGATACTTTGAGGGCAGGGACTCTCTCTTGTGATGCACAGAAAGCATCTAAGCACAGCACTGATGAACTGTGCAATTCTTCTATGGCTTTGTGTTAACATGTTGGGAAGAATGGTGCCAACAAAAAGGACAGAGAGTGTATTGAAGGTTCAATGAGAAAGCTCAAAGCCACCAGCACTGTAAGTTGTTCTGAGCAGTTGACTCGCCTTAGAGCTTAATGTGACCAATGGGTCCTGCTCACATGGAGCAGCTTGCTGAAGTAGTCTTATCTGTGATACACCTTTCACCAGGTACAATATAGGTACATGTGACCATCTGGTATCCCACTGCTACCTTCTTCAGCAATAGACAATTGGGGCACCTTCCCAAACCAGAAGGAAATGTCCTCTTTCTCCAGACTGTTGAAGACATTCCCCTTTGGCTACCATCTTGCCTGACACCAGGACTCCATGGGGGATGCCCAAAGCCAGACTGCAGAACTGTAGGATCATGGGACTGGAAGGAACTTCCTGGATCAGAGGCCAGTCTTCTGCTATCACTGGCAACTATGACATGTAATTTCATTCATAAAGTGATCAAGCTTTATCTTTAACCTCGTTAGTTTTTCTGCTCTTGCTACACCATTTAGATGTTTTTAATGGAACCATGGAACCATATCCCCCACGGACTGGACAGAGGGAGAGAGGCAGCACACACTAATCAATGAGTAAGGCCTACTTGGAAAGGGTCTGGTAAACACACAGATCTGAACCAGAAGAGAAGTGTGCTTAGCTCGAAGCAGGTGATTTCAGTGGAATGATTCCTTCTTCCCTAAGGTCACAGGGCAGAGAGAGATGCATAAAATCTTCCATTGACCAAACTTTGTTGCTTCAGGAAGTGTCTACATTTTCAGCACCATGAACCTTAGCAAGGAGAATTCCTGCTTTAAGGGTTTTTTTAAAGGCAAAACTAGCAAAATCACACCATTTAGGTATTTACTGGGGTAACAGCTAACAGCCCCAGTGATGGAGCAGAATTCCCCATGCAGGACACTACAAACAGAACACGAGGATGGAACCTGGCCCAAAGTACAAACCATGAGGCAACAGGTAGGATCAGGTGGACAGACACGAAAGCAAGAGTATGTGCTGGTTAGCATGATCAGCAATGGTCACAGTGTACTAGCTGTCTACTTTTGGTCAAGTTTGAATGCTGAACTTTCCAAGGGGTGAGAGTTTTGTTCTGTCAAACAGGATTCAAACAGGTCCAGTCATCTGTCACCACTTCTCACAGCCTTTGCACAGTTGTGCATCCCATAAGACAGCCTCGCCCTTGTTTAACTAGGGCTTTATCTGGAGATCAGAAAACATTTGGATCTGGATCTTTCAAACAGAACAGCATTTCATGGCAACCTAGCCAAAGGGAGTTAAGTAATATTAAAGCATGATATTTCATAGTTGCATAACTAGCAGCAGCTGCTTTAGAGCTGAAACAAATTACCCTGAAAGAAAGATTTTTTTACTGGAGAAAACTTTGAACTAAATTACAGTATAATCTACTCATAAATCCTTTTGTTTTATGAGGGGACTCTGATCTGTTGCTTAGAATGGGGCAGTGAGACTTGGGATGTCTATGATCCTCTTTATAACTCTGATTCTATATAATTTTAGATGCATAAGAAAGGCCCAAACTTACCAAATGTCACAATGATTCTGAGTGCCCAACCTGAAGCGCAAATGCAGACACTGGTTGATACTCACAAGGACAATTAATAGCTGCAACAGATTAGGAGTCCCCATTTCTTGGAGTCTTGAATTCGAGTTCGGATGTCTATCTAAAAGGCACCATTTCTAATGCAATCCCAAGTTACAGGGCTTGATAATAAAGGAGAATAATTCCCTCTTCTCTAGGAGTAATGGGTGGATTTCTCTGACTGCTGGTTTTGCAGGGTAGATGATCAAATAGATGATCAAAAGGCTTCCTCCCAGCCTGAAGGTCTAGGAAATGTCTAGTGCAACTCTTCAGCAGTTCAGTTGAGCACCTACAGAAAAGCTCACTTAATTACAGTTTGTACTTATAGAACACAGACACCTTCATTTTGAGTATTTCCAGGTGTCTCACAAAATAGCATTATGCCTAGTAATGTTGCATTTGTTCAGTAATTTACCTTACAGCCAAGCTGTGAATCAGTAAAAGTCTTCTACTCCGAAGGCTTCCTTGTGCTTTGTAGATTTACATCTGGAAGAGACCACCGTGATCATTTACTCAGACTTGCTGTATAAGGGAGACCCAGGCCAGGGAATGTCACCCTTGACTCTGGATTCTTACCCTGTCACTCATGGTTGAACTATTGCCTGTTTTCCAGAAAGAGTTCCCAGTTTTGGCTTAAAAACACAAAGTTGTACATCAAGGAGTCCTTCCTGTGTAAGAGACTGCTCTGGAACAGTAGGATTCCAGCCATTGCCCTATGATGTTTCAAATAATAGTTTCTTTAAACTGATTTGAGAAACTCAGACCTTTAAACGGAATAAATATGGGAAGAATCTTTACTAAAAATGCAGTGCCAGCAGGGCTGAATTTGATGGCAGGCATGCTTTAAGTTAAACCTATTTAGATTAGTACCTGGCTTTCAGAATCATGAAGGCCATAAGGATCTCTGCATTCGCCAATAACTGCACTAGCAAGATGCTGAGAATGCACCAGTCCATCTCCTCTCACTGGTTTATTGTTTCATTGCCACTTTGCTTCTCTACATACCTGAGTCTGCAGACAGAATTTCTGGCTAAAGGAGAGGGAGCACATATGTGACCCAGGTGCTATGGGCAGCTGTGCTGCTGATTTGCTCTGTGACATTGGCAAGGTCAGTTAGTCGGTTTGTGGCTCAGTTCTCCATCTGTCCAACAGGGATAATACTACCCCTCTACATCCAAGGAACATTGGGAGAACTGAAATGCTTTAAAACCCTCAGAGGGAAGTTATGCTGCTATGTGAGTGTAAAGGATTATTATTAGAGCAAGAAGATCCCCAGCTGGTATCAATTGCTGTTGTTCCACTGCAGGCAATGGGCCAGATCCCCACCTGCTGCAAATTGCCAGAGCTGCACCAAAGCCATTCTTCTTCATTTAAACTTGCTGAGACTCTGTCCCAACAACTTTGGAAGTGGGGACTCCACTACTACAGATGCAGAGAAGGCGGCAGGATATCAGGTAGAAATAAGGTACTTTAAAACATAAACAAGGACTTCCTTTGAAGTTGCACAGGGGGAACAACAGGCAAGACTTCTTGTGCCTACCTGTCTGTGCTCTGTATCTCTCTATCAAAAGATCTGAAAGCACTTGACAAAGACTAATTGCTGTTCCTGCAATGTCCTTAACAGGTAAGCACTGTGATGCTAACTTAACACATGAACAGACTGGTAAAGTGATGTATCCAAAGTCACTCAAGGTATCTGTGATAAAGCAGGAAATAAAACTGATCTTTAAGTAACCAGTGCTGTGATTTAAGAATTAGAAGCCATACACCAGACCCTCACTCTGCTGGTGTATATCAGTGTATCTGAGGATCTCGCCTTATGCTTTTTTTAATGATCAGGCACTGATGGATACAGAATATTTACATAAGATTGACTTAGCAGGAGCTGGATGGAGTAGGCAATGTTAGTAATGCAGATAGTGCAGACTTGGCAGTTCTAGCTGCTGTCTTTCCAAGGGTGTTTGCTTGTGGCCTGCCCTTCTGTGTCACAGAGGAGCTCTGGGAGGCTCAGAAACCTTTGAACTGCTAATGATATGAGCTTTGTGGCAGTAAATCTCTGATGTTGTCAGTTGGATATCTGTCTGGAACTTATGCAAAAAAATGAAGGACATTCATTCAGTAGACAGTTAAGAACACAAGATTACTGAGCTGTGTTTGGGGAAGTAGTAAATAACTAGGTTTGTATAATGGCTGTGACATAATGCATTACACTTGCCAGAAGTAAGCTCTTATTTTTAAACCTCTGTAACAGTGATCCACCCAGACTGGCTAATACCTCTCAAAGTGTCAGTATATCAAATGGCAATACAATTGTTCCTGCATGAAATGCTTGTTCAGTTAAATTTGGAGCTTTATTTACTTTAAGGAGGAGAAATATCTTCTTGGGGGATAACCAGTTTAAACAGGAATGTATTTGGAACACCTTGGCTAGGGACAGACATTCAAAAAAGCTGGAGCTTGAATTGATTCAATCTTTGCAGGTTAGTCTAACCTGCCTACTTATGCAAAAAAATGAAGGACATTCATTCAGTAGACAGTTAAGAACACAAGATTACTGAGCTGTGTTTGGGGAAGTAGTAAATAACTAGGTTTGTATAATGGCTGTGACATAATGCATTACACTTGCCAGAAGTAAGCTCTTATTTTTAAACCTCTGTAACAGTGATCCACCCAGACTGGCTAATACCTCTCAAAGTGTCAGTATATCAAATGGCAATACAATTGTGCATGCATGAAATGCTTGTTCAGTTAAATTTGGAGCTTTATTTACTTTAAGGAGGAGAAATATCTTCTTGGGGGATAACCAGTTTAAACAGGAATGTATTTGGAACACCTTGGCTAGGGACAGACATTCAAAAAAGCTGGAGCTTGAATTGATTCAATCTTTGCAGGTTAGTCTAACCTGCCTAGACTGAACCAGTTTGCAACTGAACAGACATCCTTCTGGACTGAGGAACTGCAGGCATATGCCTGCAGCTGCTGAGGCCAGGAGCCACGGGGTGCTAGATAGAGTACACCATCAGCTACAGGGAAGTTGTGCTGGGGGACATAGCCAGGCTGGGTAGTTGCCTGGAGTGAACTGGCCAGGGCGGGCGTTTAATTCCTCCCTCCCAGTCCCACGGACCTGAGCAGTGTCAGGAGCATGGCCAGACACCAGCTGGCATGGCCCCCTGAGGCAGAGGGGGGTTATGTCCGCTGCCGCTCAGTCCCTGCATGGGGCAAGGAGGAAGAGTGGGGAATAACCAGACACCACTGGGGGCTATGGGGCCATGCTATGGCCTCCTATGAGCCCCAGTGCTTCCACTCACCCTGCACAGTCCATGGCAGCTCTTACCAGCTGCTTACAGCCCCCTCCACTGGGAAGAGGCTTGCGCTCCCTGAAAACCACGACAGGGGTTGCTGTCCCCATCAAGGGACCTGGCCCCTGAGGTGGGGGGGGGCAGGGGGGGAGAATATTCTCTCCCTCTTGTGGAGGGGGCTTATCCTGTCACTTGCCCAAAGAGGGAGCAGGCAGCAGTGGTCAGACCCTACTGCAGTCCCCTAGTTATGTATTTTGGACTAGCTATGGAAATGAGACGGACCTGACACTCATAGATTCACAGACTGTAAGGGGCTAGAAGGCACCTCACAAGATCATTGGGTCCAGCCACCCCTCTCACTAGGCAAGGGGGGAGTAATCCCCTGCTCTGTACCCCTCCCCCACAAGGAGACCATGCTGGCCTGCATCTGGCTGTGCCCCTGCTGCTGTAGCAATGACGGGGGAGTGCCAGGTGGACCCTGGCTCAGGTCCAGGCTGGCAGGACAGGGAGGGAGGAATTAAACCCCCTACCTGGCCAGTTCACTTCAGGCTACTGCCAGGGCTGGCCACACCCCCACCACTGGAGCAGCCAGTGGAGAAATGCAGGTCCGTGCTGGTGGGACAGGAGTGAGGGGGGAATGAAACTCTTTTCTGCTCCCTTCTGGGACCAGTGTCCGGCCAGGCCTCCACCTCTGCCTGTCCCTGCTCTGGCTGGGGAGCAGAGAGGCAGGGCCAGCCCTGCTCCACTGGAGCTAAGAGCACAGCCCAGAGAGCATGCTGGGGGACTCTGGTTTAACTTACCAGGAAGGGGTCTGGGACAGAAGTTGCATAAACTGGTTTGAGCTCCACCAGTTACATTCAACCAGCTTTATCTCAAACTGGTTTTGGCCACTTTGAAACTGGTTTATGCACACTGAACTTGTTCTGTTACAGATTTAAATCAGTTTCTGATCACTTAAACCAGTTTGTGTAATGTCTGTCCCCTAGCCCTTGTATATGCATGCAAGAGAACCTGAACTACTATCAGCTGTAAGGCACCTCAGCAGTAGTTTACTTGAATAACAATAAGTGGGGACCCCTTGAAGCTAGTGAAAAGATGCTCTGTAGGCTTCGGATTAGGTCAAAAGAGCAGCTGTATGGTGTCATGAATCTATTGCCAGTACACCAGAGATAAGGCTGTTGCATAGCTATGCGATGTCCCTATATAAATAACTCTACCCCATCACAGATTCACAGAAGTTTAGGGCTGGAAGGGATCTCACGAGATCATGGGGCCCAGCCCCCCTCCTCTGGGCAGGAAAGACCGCTGGGGCCAAATAACCCCAGCAAAGTGTGTGTCCAGTCTCATTTTGAAGATCTCTAGTGTAGGTGCCTGCACCATCCCCACTGGCAGTCTATTCCAAAGTCTGGTCATACGAACTGTGAAGAAGTATTTCCTTATATCCAGTCTGAAACCTTCTTCTATGAGTTTATGACCATTGCTCCTGGTTTTCCCCTGGGGTGCTTTGGTGAATAGTTATTTGCCTAGCCCCTGATGCTCTCCCTTGATCTATTTGTAAGCTGCCACCAAATTCCCACAAAGTCCTCTTTTCTAGGCTGGATAGTCTCATATCTGCCAGCCTTTCCTCATGGCTTGTTCTTCAGGCCTCTAATCATACGAGTGGTTCTTCTTTGGACTCTCTCAAGCTTCTCCGCATGCTTCTTCAAGTGTGGTGCCCAGAACTGGATGCAGTACTCCAGCTGTGGCCTCACCAATGCTGAGTAGAGTGGGAGAATAACTTCCCTAGTTTTGCCTGAGATGCATTGGTTGAAGCATGCCAGCATATTGTTTGCTCTGCTAACTGTAGCATCAAACTAGCAGCTCATTCATTTTATGGTCAGTTATGACCTGTCCCTTTCAGACATGGTGCTAGCTAGAGTAGCACCACTGAGCCTGTAAGTATGTTGCGGATTTTTCCTCCCCAGATGAAGCACTTCACACTTCTCGGTATTGAACAGCATCAGGTTCTGGTCCACCCATCTAACTAATCTGTCTAGGTCTGCCTGGATCATCAGCCTACCCTGATGTGTGGTTGCACTTCCCCAAAGCTTAGTGTCATCTGCAAAGTTTGCCAGTGTGCTTTTCACCCCCACATCCAGATCACTGATGTAGATGTTGAAAAGCACCAGAATAAACTGGGCAGTAAAGGACAGCTGCACCCGAATATCTGGCTCCTTGCTTATCCTCTTATGCAATGCCCCTGGAAACATGGAGGCAGAAAGGGGAACCTACTGCATTCTCCCTGGCCACAAACCATGACAGAATTGTGTTTGGAAATGAAATGTCACATTCACTTGGGTTTTTCTTTTGTCAGACTTTCAGAAAGCTTTCCTATGCAAACACCTTCTAAAGAGCTCTGAAGCTGCCCTAACAGTGCCATGTGAGATGCTATCCAGAGAGAGAGGCTTCATGGAAAAAAGCAAATATTGTTAGAAAAAGCTGTTCTATGGAATAAGTCTATGGACCTGCCCGCATGCACCTAAATTGTGCCCAGTTCAACTGGAAATTACTTTTAAAACCCATTTAATGAAACTGGCACCTACCCTTTGTGTGAACACTCTTCTGTTTTTAAGTGGTCACTTTGTTTCAGCTTAAACAAAATCCAAAGGCCTTGTCTACACAAGAAAAACTGTATTGGTTTAATTTACGATGGAACTTAATTTGAGTTAATTAAAATGGTTGAAAAGGGTGTGTGGCTGCTCCCCCTTCACTTCAAACCGAGTTTGTTTTGATTTTGCTCAAAATGATTTGGAATTGGGTTATCTTGGTTCAGTTTAAGCTATTCTAAAATGGAAGTAAAAGTTCACACATGGGTTTTCACTGAATTAATTAGATAGGGTTACATGAGTCCAATTCAA